TTAATCTTAAAGACTAATTTCTTTCTAAAGGAATATCTTAACTTATATCTAAGCTCATAAATAAACACCACAAATTAAATATATATATATATATATATTAGTGAAGAAATAATCTGAGTCTCTTCACCCTTAATTGTACAATACATGTATAATTAAAAAAGAAAATCCAAAAATTACATAACCAAAAAAAAGTCACTATATGGATGTTTTATTGGACAAAAACCATATATAATTGTACATGAACAAAGTTATACCACGCTTACATATGCCTGTATGTATACATGTATAGCGATCTCAAGCTTAACGAATGTCCAATGTTGGATAACTAGGGAAAAAAAAGAGAAATATATATATATATATATGTATGTATGTAATGATGTAGAGCCAAGCTGGATTATTCAATGGAGTAATAACAGCCTTGACTTGCAAGCAATTAGAAAGAGCATACATACCCTTTTCTCTTCCATTTCCACTGATCATATACCCTCCAAAAGGACTAGCAGCATAAAAAATTCCATAACAATTAACCGAAACAGTTCCCACCCGCAAGGCTCTTGACAATGTGTTTGCAGTGTTTATATTCTGCGTAATCACTCCGGCAGCCAGCCCATATTGACTCTTATTTGCCCGTTCAATAACTTCATTCATGTCCCTACTTACAAACATTATTCAAGTTAGCAATAAGTTTCATATACATGTATATACACATATATGTATTTTAATAAGTATAAGAAAACACTCACTTTAATTTCAAAATGGACTGAACCGGACCAAATATCTTGTCTTTTGCTATCAGCATGTCATCCTAAGATATAAACTTGATTAGCTCGATTATTATGTGAGAAACTTGCAGCTAAATTCAATTGGGTTTGATAATTAATTAGTACCTGAACATTGGAGAAAACAGTGGGTTTAATGTAGTAACCCTTGTTGCCAAATCGCTCACCTCCTGTTTCTAGAGTCGCCCCACATTCAACACTTGATCTTATGTACTAGGGGATCTTCTCGATTTGTTTTGAATCAATCTGTTGTGTTAATCATTCATATTGAAAATGACGTTTATTTGACATATGGAATATTATATGCATATATAGGTAATTAATTTTTAAATCATTCATATTGAAGATATAATAGATGTAAAAAGATGAGCCAAAAATATGAGCATTTACCTGTGGACCTTGTTCGACCCCTGCGATGAAGGGATCACCGACTATATGTTTTGCAGCACGTGCTTTGGATTTCTCAACAAACTCATCGTAGACACGTTCGTGTACGAAGTTACGAGATCCTGAAATACAACATTGTCCCTGTATATGCCTAATTTAATATTGATTAATTAAACTATAAATAAGAAGAGTTTTATTGAAAGAGAATTTATGGGATATATAACATACTTGATTGAAAAATAGGGCAAGATAAGCCTGCTCAACTGCAGTATCTATATCTGCATCTTCACATAGAATGAAAGGAGACTTGCCTCCTAGCTCTAGAGTTACCGTCTTAAGATTGTTTTTTGCAGCTGTTTCCATAACAGCTTTTCCAGTTACAGATGATCCAGTGAAAGATAAGCCTGCTCAACTGCATTATCTATATCTGCATCTTCACATAGAATGAAAGGAGACTTGCCTCCTAGCTCTAGAGTTACCGTCTTAAGATTGTTTTTTGCAGCCGTTTCCATAACAGCTTTTCCAGTTACAGATGATCCAGTGAAAGATAAGCCTGCTCAACTGCATTATCTATATCTGCATCTTCACATAGAATGAAAGGAGACTTGCCTCCTAGCTCTAGAGTTACCGGCTTAAGATTGTTTTTTGCAGCCGTTTCCATAACAGCTTTTCCAGTTACAGATGATCCAGTGAAAGATAAGCCTGCTCAACTGCATTATCTATATCTGCATCTTCACATAGAATGAAAGGAGACTTGCCTCCTAGCTCTAGAGTTACCGTCTTAAGATTGTTTTTTGCAGCCGTTTCCATAACAGCTTTTCCAGTTACAGATGATCCAGTGAAAGCAATCTGGAAAAAGAAAAGAATAAAGAGATAAACAGTTTAAGTTTTAATTATGTTATGAGAGATTATTGTCGTTCTTGATCTTCTTCTTGTTTGTTTAAAATTTTTTTAAACAAAAAAATATATATTAATACACATATGATCATTATAATATTGATTTTTTCAAAAAAAATACATATAAATGCACAGAACAACTCAAAATTACAAATTTTTATAGAGGAAAGAACTTGCGAAAATCTTTATAGACCTAAATTCACTATATCATTTTCTTACGATTTATAAATACCTTATCCACATCCATATGGCTGGCAAGTGCTGCACCAGCAGTTGAACCAAGCCCAGAAACCACATTTAAAACACCAGGAGGAAGACCAGCCTGCCACAAACAAAATCTCCCCATTTGAAAACAAGTCATAATTTATTCAAAAAAAAGCCTCATGGAGAAGATTTGAGACATATAAAGCACACAAGGGAATCTGATCAGCTGTTTTAAGCACAATGGTATTTCCACTAAGCTAATGCAGGAGCTATTTTCCATGTAAACATCATAAGAGGAAAATTCAATGGAATGATTTGGCCTATTGGTTCACGAAGAGTCTGCACTTGATGCCGACCATCACTTGGAACTGTTAAACCATGAATTTAATCTGCCCAACCTGAAAAAGTTTTCAAATGTTACAAATTAAATTATCTGTACAACTTACCATCTTCTTTTATTCATAAAATTCCAACATTAAAAGAAATAATGTTTGTAATTTTGAGTTACGTTATATTTTTATATGCATTTTTATTTAAAAATTATTTCTATTATATTAGAATTACAATTATAATTAATGAATATATGCATTCTATATTAAAAAAAATTATATAATTTTTTCTTTAGAATAACTTGTTTTTTTATCATTTTGATAAATTACTAATCTTAATTTCTACATTTTTTTACCTGCCTAGTATCGGATTAAGCGAATAATGATAGGCATTTTAATTTTAGCAGCCTGTTCAAATGCCTCAAGCCATGCGATCTCATCGTTGCAAATCAGCAAAGCGGAACAAGATGTTCGATCTTTCCTGAAAAAGTCAGAACTCTAATCAATCAATCTTTTAATCGCATTAAAGAAAACAACTAAATAAATATATCAATTATGAACAGATAGTTAGATACATAAGCTGTGATCCTAGGCCATGGCCCTTCGTCAAATGCCTTACGAGCAGCGGACACTGCTCGATTAATGTCTTCTGCATCACCTTCAGCAACATGAGCAATCACATCGCCTGGTCGGCGTCCAACGTAGGAAATGTTTTCCCTGCCACAAAAAAATGTAAAATTAATTTTTAATAAAAATAGAAAAATTGAGATTTAAACACATTCTAATACCATACTAAATAATTAATTAAGCCAATTCTCCCAAATCTTAAACCCATAAAAAGGAATTCAATTAATTATTTATATTCTAACGTATAGATATATACATATATATATATATGTACATATAGACGTTATGGATAGAGAATTCATCACTAAATGGAGGGAATCACCTGATGCAGCATCGACAAATTGTCCATTGATTAAAGCTGAGTAAAATTTACTTTGACAGATGGACTAATAGGTTCGTCTATAGATACATCAGTAGCAGTACTATACTTGTAAGTTCTTGCTCGCCTCAGAACTGAATTTCTCCCTGCAGATTAATTCAAGCAACCATAGTGCAAATGTGAAAACCAAAAATGACACAATAAAGTTACACTGTTTAATCCACCATAATGAGGATTTATGCATACAACAATCTAATCGTTTATATATGTTTTTCAAACCATGAAATTTTATCATCAAAAGATTAAAATTTTTTGCTATATATTAAAAATTTTAAATTCAAACTACTTATGTGTTTGAATTGAAAAAATATAATACCGAAATAACTAAAATAAATACTTGAATTTTACTAATTCTTTACCATGATTTAATGTTTATTACAAAAAAGTTCAGTTGTTGAGTGGCCTCTTCCACTTACGTATCCTATTTATACATATATTGTTCCGTATGGAGCGAGGATTCCAAGTTGGTCCCAGTACGTGCATGTATATAATAAGTATGATGTCTCTACTTACCATAGGGATAGATTTATATACTAATATTATTACAAAAACAGGCTCTGGGATTTCTGGAGAGAATACTGTTACAAGTGCCAAAACATTTCAGATTGCGACAGGAATAGAGGAAACATGAAGAAATAGAACACTCAAACTTACATCAGTTGTACATGAGTAAATTTTTAAAATATGCATTTAAGTATAACTGATAATTGACTATAAACCAAGGTTTATATTGGAGTTATATTTTGGTAATTTTAGTTTGAATTGTGAATAACACAAAATCATATTTCTCTAATTTTAGTTTGAGTTATATATTTTTAAATAAAGACCTCTTTATTATTTTCAGAATGTATAAATAATAGGTTAGATAAAATGACTAATTTGTTCCCTGAAAATAAAATGAAAATCTCTCTTTTCACTTACTTTCATTTTTCATTTGTTTGTTAAACTCACAATCTTCCCTTCTTTTTTTTTTTTCTTTTTTACTTGTTCAAGAACGAAATTTCCAATCTACCTACTTTTTTTTTTTCTCTTTTAATCACGTTGAAGTTATATTTATCTATCATTTTTAAAAAAAAACCTATAATTCAACACTTGATTCTTCAAACAAAGTTTCCTGTTATTGTTCTCATAATTACCATACAAGTAATATTTTTCCAACAATTTACATATCTCCTCAAACCATCACATTGAATCTACGTGGGTCTAAGACTAACAAGAAGCAAGCTACATATGCAGCCATGTTTCGATATGGTTGCTCAGGTTCTCTTAATCTTTGAAAATGTTCCAATCTCTGAGAAATATGTACTTTGAGTTCCACTTCCAAGCTGGTGAGCATGAGCTTGTGGGTTTGTCAGCTCAATCCCCTGCAAAAACACAGGAAAAAGGAAATCTAGTAGTCATATCTCATCATCTACCCAAAAAAAAAATGTTGAAAACAAGTAGCATCATCTTTAAGCTCCAAAAGAAGGGACAAGCGGACATTATAGGAATATCCGCTTAAGTTAGGCTAGATACTCTCTTAAGTTAGCCATGTCAGCTTTTACCCCAATTAGCAGTTAGCAATATGCTCGATTCGCTCTTAATGAACAAGAAAAGATACGCTTATAGGAATATCATGAACAAAAATTTTGAAATAAATAAACGTGGTAGCATGGACCTGTGACTTCTGGATTAGATAGCAAAAGACCTACAATTAGGACCCGGCCTGAGGGACTCTATTCAATAAAGTATGCTATTTTCAAAGTAAGTATTCAACAAAAATATGTTTTCTAACTCCATCAGTTCTAAAGCTAATCACAGTACCCTCTATTAATCAAATCTTTATGAATATGAACTTCTGGAGATCCGATGACCATGTGGGAAAATAAAAAATGTACTTATCCCATTACTCTCAGAAGATAGAAGCAACAGGATCAAGATTAAGAACTTAGACATAATTTAGCTAGTTCTCTAGATGGCAAGTAACATGTACTTGGCTGGTTAACGAAATGGTTTATAAAATTTCCAGACCCAACAATGTCCCCAAGTTTTAACTGTATATATATCTAGGAACTGCAGGTGCCTGGTTAGAACAAAATAGTTACACCCAATAAACAGCAACTAAGCTCCTGGAGAACATAATAACTAAATGAAGCAATTTGCAGCCAATTTAGGAAGAGAAATATCTACCTGCACAGGTGTAAACGCCAGACTTGAAGTCAGTCCAGATGTAGCACCACTGCTTCCAAAAGCCTTTTCCTTAAACCTAAATATAAAATTTACGATTATTCCAAAGGCAAGGAGAAGCCTGAGAATTAACTAGTGCACAACTTTATTGAAGTAGATATAAAACAGATGATACTCTGTAAGCTTCTATAAATGGAATGTGTGTATCCACCACAAAAGAAGCTATTATTAGATCACTTACTTCTTAGCAACTTTAGCAGAAAGTTTGCTCTGAACACGGGATACCCGTAGTTTGTTACTCCCAGCTTGGCCAAGCATTCCATAACCCTCGCCCAAACCATCACCTATCATCAATAAATATAGGACAAATGAGAGGATTGTTTGGGTTTGCTAAGTGATTAAAGCACTAAGTATTTAGATAAGTGGTTATATATTTAGACAAAGATCATTATTTGAAAAAAAATTATTATATTTTTGTAAAAAGCAAATCTTCAAGGCTAAATTGGCATTGTACACGTTAAGAAAATAAACACTTAGTTAATACAAAAAAAAGGAGATAACACTCTTTTTCTTCTATTTAAAACTGCTTATTGGCACTAAATAAGCCACCTATCCATTACATTGCCAAACAGGAGGATGTGAACAGAATACAAAACTGCTTATCAGACAAATAAGTGAAAAGCCAAGGTCTATTCGATACATAATCTATTTTCTATTTTCATGTTCTAAGATTAAATGTGTTTTATTCACCAAAACATATTAAGTTCGTCAATAATAAGTGATAGTGAAAATGATGAAATCTGAAAATTTTAAATTGTTGATTTTAGTGTTTTCTACAGAACTTTTTCCTTTTGTGCTTAAGTATTTCAAAAACACACATCTTTTTAAGTACCTTGATGAATAACAACATAGATAAAAACATGAATTAGGAAAGGAATATTAGAAAATGCTTTCATGCCTTAAACAGAGTCCAAAATCCTCATCCAACAAAAGTTTTCAAAATGAGAGGAAACCAGAACATACACCTCCAACTTCATCTGCTAAAACATAATGAAAGAAATGAAGTGACTAGAAATTAGCTTACACAGCAAAAGTAGTTTAGAATTGATACTTTTGAGGCACGGCAAAAAAACTAATTGACTGCACAGGAAGTTACCTTTTTAAATTACAAAGTACAGAACAGAAGAAATATTAATAAATAAGACAATTGGATTTTACCCAACGAACTCTCTTCAGGTACACCAAATTGCATCCTATTAGCCAGCTTCCTCATGTCTGTTATTGCATACCTGGGTCCAGAAAAGCAATTAAAATAAAATAATTAGCAAAAGCAAAAAGAAACAGCATATAAAAATAGAATGGCTAACATAAAAAGTATATAGAATATACCTTTCCTTCATCTTCCTTAACCGACGACCACCTCTCTTTTTCTTAGGCTCAGAATCAGGAACTGGAAGTGGTTTAGGTTGCTTTGCAGGAGGTGGTTCTTGCCACTTCTCAATTTTTTTACGAATCTCTTCCCGTAAGGCTCTTCCCGTGCTCCCTGATGGATCTCCTCTGGTAGAATCCACTCGTGCTGCCAAGGTCGATTTTGCGGCAAGGAGACGGCAAGCACGCATCCTCAGTGCCGGAGGTGTACTCTGGAAAATTTCTGTCTGCTCCAGATAACCAACACGGAATTGTGATGTTGCTGTGGAAAATCCTGCAAGGTTCCTTTTCTTATTACCAAGAAGTTGAACATTACAAGCAGGGATCTTGGCCAATGCTGAGAGACCACCCGCCGTGCCCATAAGTTTGGCTGCTACTGCACTTCCAACAATAGCAGAAAGATTTGGTGCAATATACCCCATTCTACTTTCCACAAAATCAAGGACCTTTTTCTTTGCTGAATCAAGATCAAGAGCTCGATCACATGCCTCAGCGGTCTTCTGAAGGACATCATCAGGAAGTGGCTTTCCACTTGTAGTTGATGCTGTAACTGAAACAACCATAATGATAGCCGATGGCAAGAGCCCTTCTAGATCAACAAGTGTTAAATCCATCTCATTTCCGATCTTTTTCACCACACGAGCATAATCTATTGGGTGATGTACAAGTGATTCAAGCTCAGGAAATTTCAGCCGGTACTTGTCACGAATAAAATTGTGGATAATAACAATTTCATTCTCAATATCAACAGATAAGGCATTGCAATCCACAATCAGCTGATATTCAGGATCATTCTCCAGTATTGTCCCCTGATATGATGTATCAGTGCCCTTCTTAAGAGCATCTTCCACTTTCTGCCATCACAACAATGCATTTAAACATGTCATTAGAAATAATACCATGCATGAAAGGCAATTCACCAGTCAATTACCACCGAACTTTATTAGCCACACTAACCAACAGGACAACATTATAAAAAAAAAACACAAGAAAAAAAAAAAGAAAAATGTGTCACAAATAATCAAGTCTGTAAGAAAACTACATCTATTAGGGAAACCATGAAAAAACAAGTGTGTGGTAGAAAATGTTAAATGATAAATATGGGGTAAAAAATATTAATAATGGTAGGTGTAGGGTAAAAATATTAATAATGGTAGGTGTAGGGTAAAAATATTAATAATGGTAGGTGTAGGGTAAAAATATTAATAATGGCAGGTGTAGGGTAAAAAATATTAATAATGGTAGGTGTAGGGTAAAAAATATTAATGATGATCAATTGCATCCTAAACTAAACTCTGCAAGCAACTCAAATACAATAATTCAAGATCTTCAAACCATGAACCACATTAATTTAAAAAGAAACTGTGGACATCAACTAACCTGAATTATATCAATGTATCTCTGCGTCTTTTGCAGTTTGGAAACATTATCCAGATCATCATAATTAAGAGCTTCAATATCTGCCATACCGGCATCAATATCTTCATCCATGTTCTCAGCATCAGCATCTTCCTCCTGAAACAATGTGCAAAAATGGCTTATCAGTCCAATAAAATCGGTCAAGGAATTCCAATAAGAAGTCAAAAATAAGTGATAGAGAAGTTCTCAATCAAAGATATGATCAGAAGAAACAAAAAGAATGAAATTTTTCATATCCGAGTGAGAAAGAGAGTAAGAAATAAGACAAAAACTGAGGGAAGTTAATTTTGTTTTTTAGTTTTCTTAATATTTCCTATTTCTAGTTAGGTTCTTAGTTTCTTAAGATTTCTCATTCCTAGTCGGGTCCATATTACAAACCTTATAAAATGACTTATCTATAACAGTTTTAGATTTTCTTTTTTTTTTTTAAATATATAACAGTTTTAGATACAACTTAATACAATTCTACGTTATTATTTAAATTAAAACTTTAGCCTCTACGTTTGATCTTTTCAAACAAATAGCATTCGCTGCACCAAAACTGGTATTAGAGCAAGGATTTTCACCTCGACCTGAAGTCTGTGGATGGTTCTAGTGGAAAACGAGCCACCGACAATAAATCGAGGTTCGAAAATATCGAGCAAAGACTCTGACGGAATCGATGAAGCTCTTCGGCAAATAACCCAGACGTTAGCTGCGTTATCTACCCAGGAAATCTGAACTGGACAACGATGACCAGATCTGCGTGATGAACAACACAACTCCGCCAATAGCGAGACAAAAGATGGCCAATGATTCCTATGTAGTGCAGAGAGGTTCACACAAAACGCTAGGGAGACAGATCACACGGATCTACCTCCTAGAGCACCACAGTTCATCAACCAGTTAGGAGTGATCCACGGATAGCCTTCAACAGCAATGTCAACTGTCACCGATTGCAAATCCAACTGGAAACCGACGCAGTTGAACATCACTGCAAAGATCGCAAATCAAGTTGTGTCTTCTGCAACTGGCGAGGTCTGCCCCTCTGCGGAAGTACGAGCAACGGCTACAGGGCAAATATGGGCAGTGAGGTGGATGGTCACTGACAAGTCCCTTCGGCAGCCGACAATAACATTTATAGACCTAGACAAACTTTTATAGAAGTGGGATCTCAAAATTTCACTCAAAATTTCAAAAATCCATATGGATGTTTCCCACCTTAACGCGACAGAGACAATCTACGACGCCAACAACCTCAAAACCTCCGTCAAACACATCGCAAGGATTGGACAACTCATCGAGCAAAGACAATGATCTTCGTTCCAAATACCGAGCTAATGAACGACATCATAATAACCAAGAATTTAAGATAAAGATTGATTCGCCCAACTTTGATGGACGGTAAAATATTGAAGATTTTCTCAACCAGATTGATACTGTTAAAAACTTCTTTGATTATTTGAATATTGCAGAGGAAAATCAAGTGAAGCTCATGGCATATAAGTTGAAAAGTGGCGCCTCTGCTTGGTGGGAACAACTTCAATTTAATCATCAATGCCAATGAAAACAACAAGTCCATACCTGGCCAAAGATAAAACGGTTATTGCAAATACAATTTTTACCTCCAGATTATGAGCAATTTTTGTACCAACAATATCAAAATTGTTGGCAAGTTACTGATACTGCGAATGAATATTTAGAGGAATTTTAATGCTTAATTGCTCGTATTAATTTATCAGAGACAGAGTATCAATTAATTGCTCGCTATATTGGAGGCTTGAAGCTTGCGATTCAAGATCATTTGGCTCTTCAAGGTGTTTGGACTTTGCCAGATGCAGTTAATTTGGCAATGAAGATGGAAAATCATATTAATAGGTCTTCGGCGCATCCTCAAAACCATTTTAGAAAACCAAGTCAAGAAGGATCTCCCAATCCAAGGGTTTCAGTGGCTTCTGCCAGCAGTGATTACACTGCGAATGATGTCTCTTAAGGCTAGAATTCACTACAAACCCAATGCAGGAAGCAGCAGCAGCAACAATGAACCAATAATGATATTTATGCACGGCCTAATCCCAGGAAATGCGTCTTCTGCCACCAACCAGGTCATCTTCAAACAATTGCCCAAATAAGCAAGCTGTTAACTTTATTAAAGAAGGCGGTGGTGCAAAGGACAAATGTTCAAAGAAGATAATTACAAGGGTCCTGAAAATGAAGAGGGAGATGTTGAAGAAGAAGTGTCATGCATTGTTCAACAGATATTAATTGCTCCGAAAAAGCCAAATGATTCTCAAATGACACAATATTCCGAACCAGGTGTAATATTTGGAATAAAGTATGTAATATGATTATTGATTGTATCAGAATTGAGAAATGTGGTTTCTAAAGCTTTGGCAAAGGCGATTTAGGAATGGCCAGCCCCTAAAACAGTGGGAGAGGTGCAAAGTTTACCTTGCTTAGCTACCTTTCATGGGCAGTTTATTATGTAGTTTAGCACTACCATTGCACCTATCACCAAATGTTCAAAAGATGAACAGTTTCCAGAGGAAGAGGCTCAAGAAGACAGTTTTGCTTTGACCAAAGCAAAGTTGTGTAACACACTCATGTTGCTTTGAGAATGTATTTCAAATTGCTTGTAATGCATCAACATTAGGAATTGGAGCTGTTTTGTCTCAAGAAGGTCGCAAGTGGAATACTTTAGTGAAAGGGTCAATGAACCCTGTCAAAAATGGATAACCTATAAACTTGAGTTTAATGCAGTAGTTCGAGTCCTAAAGCATTGGGAGTCCTATTTGACCCAACCGGAGTTTGTTTATTCACATATCATCAAGCTTTAAAGTTCATTTAACTCTCAAAAAACAGAGAATAAGATGCATGGTCATTGGATTACTTTCCTACAGAAATCTACTTTTGTTATTAAGTGTAAGTCTGGTCAACAGAATTAAGTACTTGATGCATTAAGTCGATTAGCCTCTTTACTAGCTACAGTTAGTAATGAGATCGTCTGTCAGATTACTGGGCGACCACCCCAGCCAGAATCCAACCCAACTGAGAACAATTCTCTACAGCATCAACGGTTAAGAACCATCTCCGCCATTAATCACGCTCTGATCACACGGCCGTGATTCATCTACCAGACTTGAGATCCCGTCTCTTTAAAACTCATGGACATAGAGTTATGAGCTTATAGACCATATCATGTTCAATTAAGGTCGTACAATTAATATTGAGATCATGGGGATTCAATTCTTTGAAAGATATTTATGCTAATGATGAAGATTTTGGTAACATCTTGACATGATGCAATAACAAAGAGTTGTTTGTTGATGTTATGATTCAGGATGAATTTTTATTAAAAGGTATGCAATTATATATTGCTCACACTTCTTTGCGTAAATATGTAGTCCAGGAATTGCATGTTTGAGGGTTAGAAGGGCATGTAAGGAGAAAAAACAATCAGTTTGGTGGAAGAAAGATTCTATTGGCCTCAAATTAAATGGGATGTAGGATGGTATGTTCAACAAAATATTAATTTTTATACGCCTGTACTTGTTCCTGAGACAATATGGCAAGATTTAACAATGGATTTGTTCTTGGCTTGCCACAGACTCAACAAGGTGATAATTTAGTATTTGTATAGTTGATCGTTTCTCTAAAATGGTTTGTTTCCTTGTAAAAAAACCGAAGATGCTTCTTATGTGGCTCACTTGTTCTTTCATAAAACCGTTTGTTTGCATGTTGTTCCTTATTTCATTACTTCTAACGACATGTAAAATTTAAGTCATTTTTGGAAAACTTTGTGGAGATTATTTGATACTTCTTTGAAGTATAGTAATACCAGTCATCTATAAACGGATGAACAAACTGAAGTGGCTAATGGAACCCTTGGTAATATGATTCAATCAGTTTGTAATGACAAGCCAAAACAATGCAACCTTTCTATTGATCAAGTTTGCCTTTAACATGATGTCAACCATTCTACCATGAAGGCTCCTTTTGAAGTTGTTTACACTAGTGCTCCAAAAACAGTTGATTTGATTCGACTTCCTCTCTCTCTTGACGTCAATCCTAGAGTGGAGGAACTTGCAGAGCATATACAATGGATTCACCAAGAATTCAAATAGAATTCGGAAGATCAAAATTTACATTATAAGACAGCTGCAGATCAATATAGAAGCGTTTAGGTGCTCAAAGAGAGTTATTTGGCGATGGTTCATCTCTGCAAATATTGTTTTCTAGTAGGTTCTTACAGCAAGCTAAATGACAAAAAGATTGGTCTCATTCGGATTCTTCATAAGATTGGTGACAATGCTTATAAGATTGACCTTCCTGCCAATATGAATATCTTCAATGCTTTGTTGCTGATATTTTCAAAGCACTATCCTCCTGATAAGTTTTCTTTGCAAACCACAAAACTCGAAAATGATTTTTCTTCAACAGGAGGAGATTGATGCAGCACACTTTTCCTAATTTAATTCTAAGTGTTATTATTTTATTATTCTTGTCTTTCTACTTTAAGTCTAAGATTTATTTCATTTTTCTAGTTTCCTTAGTATTTTCTATTTCTACTTAGATTCTTAGCTTCTTAAGATTTCCTATTCCTAGACGGGTTTCTTGTCATAAACCTTATAAAAGAATTTATCTGTAACAGTTTTAGATATGACTTAATACAATTCAACGTTATTCTTTGAAAATTTAGCCTTTGTTGTGAGTAATCTAAGTACTCTATATTTGATCTTTTCAAACAAAACTTTTGTTGCACCAGAAGTAGACAAATCTACTTACAAAATGATCATCTTCATTGTCTGATAACTCATCAAGATCAGCAAGAAAGGAATCAGCAAGAGTTGCCTGAAAAAGACCCCCCAAAAAAAACCACAATCAGTATGCAAATATTTTTTAAAAAAATAAAAAGTATATATGAATATTTATGTGCCACCCATGTAGAAAATATTTACAAATCTGTAATAGTATCAATGACATTCCCAAAATCTTCACACGTATAAATGTTGTGACCCAAAATCAAAGAGTCAAAAAAGTGTAACCATCTATCCCTAATTGTTGACATCTCACCCTCTATACCTTCAAAAGCCCTACTTGTCATGAGAATCAGTATGCAGATATAAATATATAATATTTATTGATACTTCTCTAAAAAAAGGCTTGAAGCTCTAATAGCTATCAGCTTAATAGCTTCCTTCATGATTTATTCACATGTATGCAGTGCTAATCATGAATCTATACATATGAATCGTTGTAAGTACTTCACAAAAATTAGGAAATAGGGTTCTCTAAAACATCAGCAAGAATTCATCAATGTTCAGAGTGCTAAACATGAAATGAATAACTTAATATAAAAAAAATAATTGATGCCCATATGCATACCCAAACATCTGAAGTCAGAGAAAAATTAAAACTTAACAAAAATACCAAGAATCTTTGACATAAACTCCATGCTTGGTGAAATAAGCTCCTCCATTAGCCAATCATATTACAAATGAGCATTCATTACCTAGATCAACTAGGATCTTCCATGTTAACAAAGTGTCATATTCATTACCGACTCAACAACATGGAAAATACAAAGAAGAAGAGATACAAAAAATACAAAGTGGACAAATGCATGGGAATCCTAATTACATCTCACTTAACAACATAATCCAAGATTTATGCATTGCATTGTTATCCTAAACATGTTTATCTTTCCATCTTTCCATTTAAAGATCATCACAGTTTTCCTAATTAGTTTCATAAAATATGTTTGCAAGAATCAGACACTATACTTGTTTCTCAAGACAAATACCTAAAGGATGAAGAGGAGGTTCATAATCATTACCACAGAAATTGATAAATCACTACTAATTACTTTGCCTAAAATAAAATCAGTTAACAAAAAAACTGAATTTGGTGATGAACCCCCACCCCTTGCGGCTTGTACATACCAGATAAACTACACAATATCTACTATGCTAATCACTAAAATGTCACCAAAATCTTTACAAGCATATTCTTCAGGCAAATATAGAACTTTTTAGATCCTCAAGGTAAGGATAATATTTCCTAAAGTTTATCTATTGTCTCTAAACAGGTAAAGCCATAGAGAACTGAGAAAAGGATTGAAAGGCAGTACAGACAAGATTCCCAGGAGGGCAGGGGTAAGGGGAAGAGGGAGAAATCACAGATTTTCAAGAATAGGAGAAAGATCTTTTCTACAGAGGCTTCTAATTTAACAGAAACAAAGTATAAACCAAAAGCAGCAAAAGAAAGGGAAAAAATTTGACATCTCTTCATCATCCATCACAATTTGCAGTATCCATATAAGGGATCATGATATCAGAAGAACAAGACTGCAAGTTGAAACAAAAAAGAGATATCAGTTTGCTTTACAGAGGATCATATTAGTTACTAATTGAACCTAATAACAACAATTGGCTTTTCGAATAATCTAAATGCAGGATATTGTTAAAAATCAAGGAATATCACTGATGGATTTGGCATTGAAAAAGTAGTGGGAATATAAAGTTA